GTGATACAAGTCCTTTCTTGGTTAAACCAGTTTATTCTTTCTCGATACAAACTTTTAGCAGACAGTAATTGCACAATCAATACGTTTCTCGTCAGTTTAAACTTAACTACTTTTATAATACACGCTATAAATCACAGTGATTCACACACTTTACCTACCGTCACTACTGTTCGCTTCTTTAATTATCTGTCTATATATTTCTGGCTTTCTTTGCCAGGCTTATATACCAAAAAAGAGGGCGTTTAGCAAACACTCGGACATTCGCGGGGTTCCCCGATGGTTCAAGAAACTCCCGCGCGCATGCTCCCAGCGTCACGCGACTTCTGCTGTCGTAACAATACATTCTGAAGGATGTCGCACAGGGGGTATCTAGATGGGCTCAAGCCTCTGCATACCTGCTCGTATGTCCCCAAAATGCCTTTGTTTTCTGTGTCGTAAAAAGTACAAATAATTATGAAAAGATACACTTGATTTCGCATCTTGCTTGCTGTGAGTTATTACGAAGAAAGTTTTCAGTGTTAAAATGAATGGCATAGGGAATTACAGGTAACAAAATTATATGTTGTTAAGTGTTAATACGCAACAACTCACTGTTTAGTTCTACATCGTAAAAGTGTTTATAACACCAATTGAAAAGGAATAAAAGAGGATCTGTTTTGTTCATATGTTTTCTTACCCTATGTGTATCAGAAGCAACCATAGTTCCCATAGTCTTCTCTAACATACCCTCAAAAAAAAAAAAACACCTGCTTTAGGATGCTTGAAAAATGCCCTTTTTGTCATTGAGCCCTGCTCTTTCAATCTTTTCTGCACAATACTGCAAAATATCACTAGTACAAGTTTACTACTCCAGAAAAGAATCATCACCAACTTTTAGACAATTTTGGAAGAGGACTTTTACATATCTTGCTTCTATTAATGTCGTACATTTTGAGGATTTGACTGTTACAAAAAAAATAATAAAAGTAATCATAATAAAAATAATAACAATTAGAAAAAGTACGTGAACCTACGTCGATAAAAGATTATCAAATTATATAGCATTAATGCTACTAATATATTCTTATGAATTATTCAGCAGACAAGCAGTTTCAAACACTTCATACAAACAATCTATTATTCAATTGTTTTTTAATTTAACAAAAATTAACAAATAAAAATATTTAAAGTATGCTAAATCTCATGAAATAATAATTTCAAGTTCCTAATTTTGTGATATTTTCTAAGAAGCGTGACATATTTTTCTTTTTGGCGGGAGGGATTGTGATTGTTCTGAGCTTGAACCTTTAAACACCCCTTTCTTTGACTGCGGTCAAGTTTTTGATTTATTTTTAAAAACTCTTATGTCGTTAGCATAATCTAAAGATTGGTCATTAATACTGTGTATAAAACTCTAGACAAAGTATTAATAACTGGAATTATATTCAATACTAAACTGCAGTTCTTCTATGATAATACATTGGCAAATGTATATACTATAATTAATCATTACCAACGTTATGCGGCTGTAGTTCTGAAGAGCGAGCTTTAGTTACTTCTTCCTTTTAGAAAGACAGATGGTTTAAGTTCATGTTATAGGAGACTTTCTGTCATTTTTTAAAACTTGCAGAGCAAACTGGGGGGTTGAATCTTGAAACTATATCTAACTTATAAATGCTGTTTAAACTCGACGTTTAGGCATACAATCTCTTTTCAAGATTCGATGTATGCCAAATATGGATAAAATCCAAGTTTTTTTTATTACTCTGTTAATAAAGCTAATAAAAGAATTATCTGTTTTCGTACTTGAAAACAATAACATGAGTTTCTTTTAATGATAAGTGTAAAGCTAAGAAATGGCTATCTTTGATATTCCCATTGCCAGGAAATGAACTTCAGTATTTAGCATTACAAGCTTTCAAAGTTATCGCGTGCTGTTTGCTTGTTTGTAGTTAAGCACAAAGCTACCCAAAGGGTTTTCTGTACTGAAACCCGCTACTTAGAGTTATAAGCCTTCAAACTTACTGCTGTACCACTGGAGGGCAGGCGAGAGACAAAATTTTACATAAAATTAAAAATAGCAATTAAATGTTAATATATGTGAGTTCCACTGAATATTCATATATCACTAATTGAAATGTTGACTGGAACGGAGAATAATCGTTATTTGCTCATGAACCTCAGGTAAAAGAAAAGATCATTTTTTTCATGCTTTAAAGTTATAAAAAGTTTTTCGACCCTAATTAAACAAAAAAGTGTGCTGTCTTTAAAACGTAAATAGAAAATCAACTGATATAATGTTGCCACTTTTGTATTTTACTACACTTTTAATTGTACTTAATAATCAATTATCTTATTAACTTATGAAGTTTGCATGTCAAAATTATCGAACATTGAATGACACCTGTTTGATTTATTATCAGAATTATTTAGTAACTGGACAAGTAGGACTGAACAAGTAACAAAGATTGCCTGTCTCATTAGATTTCAACATTTGTGTGGCAGTGACCTAAGACATTATTTCAAAATACATGCCAACAAAATTGAAATTACAGGGAATTTTCGTTTCTTCATAAAAATGTTTCACTTGAGTGAAGAAACGAAGGAATACATGAATATTAAACCCTGTAAATTGAAATTATGCTTCTTCTCAGCTGTTATTACACAACACATGATCTGTGGCTGCTGTTGGAGATTAAGCTTACGTACAAAGCGTTCGTAAGGCAAGGCATTAAATAAAATTTCACGATAATGAAAAAAAATATAATTTTTGCTTCTATCGAAAAGTAGGTCTTTGTGCTCCATTATTTAAATGACCAAAAATTTTTACTGCTGACATTGCCCCCCCCCCCAC